CAGAAGTGGCCGGTTCAAACTCAGCCCTGGCCAAAAACTAAAAAAAAAAAAAAAAAAAAAGACCAAGAGTTTGAGATCAGCCTGGACAAGATAGTAAGTCCCCTGTCTCTTACAAAAAGAGGAAAAAATAGCCAGGTGAGGCAGTGAATACTTGTCCCAACTTCTTGGGAGGCTTAGGTGGGAAGATCCCTTAAGTCAGGAGTTCAAGGCTGCAGTGAGCTATGGTCATGCCACTGCACTCCAGCCTGGGCGACAGAGTGAGACTTCATCTCCAAATAAATGAATTTTGAATTCTGTGTAGATTCATGGCTGTCACCTTCAAGATCTTCCTGAAGTGTTTCTTCTTACAGCTGTGCTGATGTTTGTGATAGGTGATAACTGGTTTCATTGCTTTTCTCAGATCACACACGCTGCAATGTGTGGATTTTGGATGGAGATCTATACCACAAAGGCCTGCTGAAGTTTGCAGTTTCTGCTGAATCCTTGCCAGAGACCCTGGTCATTTTTGTTGCAGACATGTCTAGGCCTTGGACAGTGATGGAATCTCTACAGAAATGGGCTAGTGTTTTACGTGAGCACATTGATAAAATGAAAATTCCACCGGAAGAAATGAGGGAGCTAGAACGAAAATGTAAGTAAAGTAGAATTCTCTTTGCTTTTCTTCTATTCACAATCTTGCTTGGCTTGTAACATAGAATTTTCTTCACTGGAAAATTCACTAGCCTCTTTGTATAGTTCTGACCACCTTTTTAACAGTCAAGAGGTTTCCCTTGTGTTGTGTTGTGTTGTGTTTGCCCCGTTTATTTCAGATTCGCTCTTATAAATTCGAAAGTCAAAAATATTCAAAGCAGTCTTTAGGCTCGGCGCTTGTGGCTCAAGCGCTGAGGTGCTAGCCACATATACCAGAGCTGGCAGGTTCGAATCCAGCCTGGGCCCACCAAACAACAATGACAGCTGCAACTAAAAAATAGCCAGGCGTTGTGGCCTGCGCCTGTAGTCCCAGCTACTTTGGAGGCTGAGGCAAGAGAAGCACTTAAGCCCAGGAGTTGGAGGTTGCTGTGAGCTATGATGCCACAGCACTCTACCCAGGGTGACAGCTTGAGTCTCTGTCTCAAAAAAAAAAAAAAAAGCAGTCTTTAACTCAGGTGTTAACACTTGAAGAAAATGAGTCAATATTCCTTATTATATTCACTGGTTCTCTTTTAAGTGTTCTTTTATTCTCAAAACATCTCTAATGCATTTCTTTTACTATCTGCTGAGGTAGCATCAGAAAGTGTGAAAGAGTTTGCTGTGACCTCTGTGGGTGATCCACTGCCTTATGGACCCTCTTGTTTAAAGGCTTAGAAGAAGCCCTAAAAAAAGACAAAGCTTTTAGCTGCTACCTTGGAATCCAGAATGCATGGTTTTGGTTAGAAATAGGTCATTTTTTTGTCACTAAAATGAAAGGCTATTTTAAGACTAAGGACCTCCATGTCCTTTTGAAAACAAAGAACTTTAAAATTACAGGAAGTTCCCCCAACTTGGTTCAGAAGCCTGTTTTTCCTTTCCCTTGCTTCTGTGCAGTTACATCAGCTTCTGTCCACTTGCCAAGGAAATGGGAGGGGCAGGGGCTGGAGCCATAGCAGCCGCAGCCGTCTTGGCCAAGGCAGGCTTGGCCCAGCCTGGCTTATTTCCACAGGATGACATCACCCTCTCTAGTGAATTAATAAGGGCTTCTGGGGCATGGCTCACGGGATCTTCACACTTACTGGCAGAATGTTGCAGAAATTTTGATATGGTTTTTAAATCAAAGTTCCTGCCATGTTTCTCCCTTTCCCACCCTTTGTTTTGCTTCTGTTTCACATTAGCTAAAACTAACATCTTACTCTTTGGTTTATTGTGTGTATGTGTGTTTTCCTGGTCACCCGCATGTGTGCTGAGTGATTGTTATGCAGCTCAGGTTCTCTGTCTTCAACCATTGACCTTTCTAGATAATGCCTCTTTTTCACACTGAAATAAAGATCCTAAAGACAACTTCTCAGAATAGTTCTGATGCCGAAGACCAGTTTCCCACCCATTGCACATACAGCTTTGTATCCAGATTAGTGAGTTGATGCACTGGAGACATCAGTTCTCTGAACCTGTTTTCTTAGAGTGATAGCTTTGCAAAGATTTGTTAAAAGAGAAAAAAGAGAGATTGTGCCAAGGATATTGTTTTTTCTCAGATAGGGAAAGTGTCTGCCCTGTACCAGGTACTGTTCTAGGCACTGAGAATACAGCAGACAGAATGCCTATGGCTGTTCCTGGGGAGTTTAAATTTCCATGAGACACTGAATTTATTTTGTGGTCTTAGTCACTGATGTCTGTGTCACTTGGGATTAGATTCAGTGGCATATGACACAAAACCCCATGTAACAATGGTTTAAACAAGACTGAGGTGTCTCTCGAAAATAAAAGAACTCAGCAGTTCAGGACTGGAAAGCAGCCCTGAGAAGATAGCTCAAGGACCATGGCTCCTTATGCTTACTGCTTTATCATTTTGAGGGTGTGGTTCTCTTCCTAATAACTAGAGCTTTAGCCTTCACATCTGTGTCAGGCAGCAGGATGGAGGAAGAGGAAAGAAGGGCTGTAGGGCAGGCACATGATTGTTACTTTTTAAGACTACAAGGGCTGGGTGAGGTGGATCACCCTGTAATCCCAGCACTTGGGAGGCCAAGACGGATGGATTGCCTGAGGTCACAGGTTTGAGACCAGCTTGAGACACAGTGAGACCTTGTCTCTAAAAATAGCTGGGTGTTGTGGCCGGCACCTATAGTCCCAGCTACTTGGGAGACTGAGGCAAGAGAATCACTTAAGTTTAAGAGTTTGAGGTTGCTGCGAGCTGTGACATGAGGGCACTCTACCAAGGGTGACAAAGTGAGACTGTCTCAAAAAAAAAAGAAGAGAATAGGAAATATAGTCTATGTGGCCATGTGTTCTAAGTGTCAGGGTTCATTTGGGTTATAAGGAGGGCAACTGGCGATTATCAGAACACTGTCTATGTCTCATTGACTCTGGTTGACTTTCACAGGGCCTCTCTGCTTTTGCCAACCCCCTCTCTGAGGTATTTGGAATGGTAGTCGTACCATTGTGTTGCATGTTGGGGCTGCGTTCATTAGTTCTGGGTTTAGGCTACATTTTAATAAAGTATTTGGCCATTCTCTTGCTGAGAATATTCTTACTTTTCAGATTAATTGTACTCTAGGTATTACATTAAATGAGTGAAGCTCTTATTTAACCTGGTTTCCAATTCAATACCAGTCTCTAGTTTGCTAACTTTGGAGAGCTGGCCATTCTCTTCAGGGTTAGGTTCCCAGTGTTCCTGGGTCTATGGCTGCTGTTAGGTTGCAGGAACTATGAGTGAGAGGGAACCACCTGAGAAAGTTAGTCTTACCTTTTCTGCTTTGTGTCTGGGCTTCTCTTGCTTATGTAGGTCTATGGGGTTTTCTCAGGACTATGGAACCAACGAGTAGGAGGGCAAAGATGAGAAAGAAAGCGCAGGGAAGGTAGAGTGCTCTGCGATCTCCCTCCTGTACTCACTTTTTTCTGATGCTGAAGGGAAGCCCCAGGTAGACTGATATCCCTTGCTGTGAAATACTGGCCATCCAGCTATCTAGAAGGAAACCATTACTTCCACTGAATGTGTATACCCTAAGGAAAAACACACATTTTACTGTGCAGATTACACACAGGCCTTACTGTTTTTAATACTTCCTTTTTTCATTTACTTGTATGTTATACACATGTGTTCTGCCTTCCAAATGGTTTTCTAAAATAAGTTATTTTTAAAAATGTAAATTTCCTATTGTTGTTGGACAGCCACAATTAAGTTATTCTTTTGGAGCGTGTATCTAAGCCGGGGCTTCCAAACTATTTTTACATCCTTGCACACACACGTAGAATACATTAGAGTTTGTGTAGCACCTGGGTAATGGAGGTTTGTTGAGCAGGCTGCCTGACCTGCCCCACCCCCACCTCTACCCCCACCTCACTTCCCACCATAGCTTAGCTTACCTGTTTATAACCTGTTGCAGGCTCTGCTCTGTCTAGAAGACTCTGGTTGAGCGCCTAATCAGTTTTCAGTTTGTCCTGTATTGTATGAATGACAGTGAGTTCCCATATAACTTCAGAAGCCCTATTGATAAGCTAAAATCTTTGTAAATAACAACTTAATGGGGGTTTTGTTTTGTTTTTGAGACAGTCTTTCTATTTTGCCCCGGGTAGAGCACAGTGACACCATTGGAGCTCACTGCAACCTTAAAGTTCTTGGGCACAAGTGATCTTCCTACCTCAGCCTCCAAAGTAGCTGGGATTACAGTCTCACGCCATGAAGCTTGGCTGATTTTACTAGTTTTGGTAGAGACAGGTTTCAGTCTCACTTAGGCTGGTCTTGAACTCCTGAGCTCAAGCATTCCTTTCGTCTCAGCCTTCTGGAGTGCTAGGATTATAGGTGTGGGACACTATGCCTGGCCAACTTACGGTTTTAAAATGTTTGAAATCTGTCTTGTGGGTACATCGTTCTCTAGGTTCTCTTCAGTTCTATTATTTGGATTTATCTAGTGAACATTTTGTTGGTAAGAATAAAAGTTCTTTTGGTTCTTTTGTTCTTTTGGGTTTAGAAAGGTAGCTGCCTGTTTTCTCTAGATCAAAGTAGCTTTAACTATCATGTCCTTGTTCTCTGGCTTAACACAGGAGCCTTGAAGTGACCACATAAAGGTGTGTAGATCTGCGTGCTTTGTGGTTAATTGAGGTGTGGACCACTCTGAGCTTGAATGCCTGAGTAGTGAACATTGTATGCCAAGAAGCAAATGTTCTGACCCTTTCTTGTGTTAAGCAGGGACAGGCATGAACACTGAACATGTGACTCAGGAACCCATAAAATGAATCTGAGTTCCTAAGAGTGAGGATGAAGAAGAAATGTCTGGTTACTTAGAGCTGACATACCTCATTTGTGTGGAAATAGCATGCTTTTATGGAATTCAAATCATTTTACTAAGCATTTCTTTTTTTTTTTTGAGATGGAGTCCCACTGTATTGCCCTCAGTAGAGTGCTTTAGCATTACACCTCATAGCAACCTCAAACTCTTGGGCTTAAGCCATTCTCTTGCATCAGCCTCCCAAGTAGCTGGGAGTACAGGCATCTGCCACAACACCTGGCTATTTTTTTTTTCTTGTTGCAGTTGTCATTGTTTAGCAGGCCCGGGCCGAACCCCTTGTACATGGCGGGCCCCTAACCACTGAGCTACAGGTGATGAGCCTACTAAGCATTTCTAATGAGGACTCTTATGAATTTTTTGTTTGTTTTTGTTTTTTGAGACAGAGTCTCACTCAGTTGCTCTGGGGTTGAGTGCCATGGCCTCATAGCTCACCACAACCTCAAACTCCTGGGCTCAAGTAATTCTCTTGCCTCAGCCTCCCAAGTAGCTGAGCCTACAGGTGCCTGCCACAATGCCAGCCTATTTTTAGAGATGAGGTCTCACTCTTGCTCAGGCTGGTCTCAAACTCCTGAGCTCAAGCAGTCTACCTGCCTTGGCTGCCCAGAGTGCTGGGATGATAGATGTGAGCTACCACACCTAGCCACCTTATGAGTTTTTTTAAGTTATAGCTATTTCTAATGGTTGCCTATGTTGAAATAACACAATTGAACTATTCAGTTATCTTGAAAACGTACGATACAGGCTCAGCGCTTATAGCTCAAGTGGCTAAGATGCCAGCTACATACACCAGAGTTGGCGAGTTTGAATCTAGCCCCGGCCTGTCAAATAATAATGACAGCTGCAACCAAAAAATAGCCAGGTGTTGTTGGGGGTGCCTGTAGTCCCAGCTACTTTGGAGGCTGAGGCAAGAGAATCACTTAAGCCCAGGATTTGGAGGTTGCTGTGCCCTGTGATGTCATAGTACTCTACCTGGGACTACAGCTTGAGACGCTGTCTCAAAAAAAAAAAGAGAAAAGAAAGGAAAAGAAAAAAAAGAAAATGTGTGATATATAAGGAAAGCAGCTTTTCTCATAGTAAACTCTTGAAAACATGTGTTTTGAATTTTTTGAAAATGTGTTTAAGAGTTAGATGCAATTAAGGATGTCCCAGGGAATGTCTTTGCTGCTTTAGTGGTAAAAAGCTCAGACTTAATATGTCAGAATTGACCTTTTGCATCATGATCTCCAGATCCTTAATACTGCAGTTAGATGCAACTGGGGAGGTTTGTCACACACAGCTGCTTACGTTTATTGCTTCTTACAGCCCTTTTCAGTGTTCCAATGCTATGTGTATTTTTATTTGTGTGTGTGTATAATTTTTATTCCTTTTTCCATTGTAGTTGTAAAAGATTTTCAAGATTATATTGAGCCTGAAGAAGGTTGTCAAGGCTCCCCACAGAGGAGAGGCCCTCTAACCTCAGGTTCGGATGAAGAAAATGTTGCCCTGCCTCTGGGTGATAATGTGCTGACTCATAACTTGGGGATCCCAGTGTTGGTGGTGTGTACAAAGGTGCGTGCCTGGGAATTGTAAGCTTAGCTGATTTGGGCCAGTGAACAATCACTGTCTGAAAGAAAGTTTGAGAAGCTTTGATGAAGTTTCTTCCCAAGGGAGATTAGGTTTATTCAGGATTTATTAAGGTACATTGAATATGTCAGGATAGAAAATATGGTTGTGTAGTATTGCTGCTGGAACATGGCATCTCTCAGTTTGCTCATGGCCTAGGTTAATCTCTCTGTGAAGCACTGTTGACTTTCAAATCCAGAACTAAAAGCAGTTTTCTTAAGGTTATATAAACCAGTTCAATCTGTCCAAGGGTGAATGATAGTCCAAAATGATGGCAGAAAAAGTAGAATGATGAGATAGGAATAGAAATCAAATTTAGTCATAGAGAAAGTTTTGTCACTTATGTAAGAAAAAAATAGCCTTAAAAGCACTTGGGGGCAGCACCTGTGGCTCAAAGGAGTAGGGTGCCGGCCCCATATACTGGAAGTGGGGGGTTCAAACCCAGCCCTGGCCAAAAACTGCAGCAAAAAAAAAAAAAAAAATGAGTTTCAAAAAGTACTTTATTCCCAGTCAGTGTTGCCCCCCTGTATAGGGTGTGCCATTCTTGTGCCACTCTTGAGAATGGAGCCCTGCGGAGTGGAGTGCATAGCCACGTACAGTGGGCCTATTTCCTAATGTGACCTTGTTTGATGTTCAGAACAACTGTGGAGTAATCATGCCTATCATATCTCTACAGATAAAGAAATGGAGGCCCAGGATGAAAGAGAAAAATCTCTAATTCTTTTTTTACTTTTCTCTAATTAATGCTTGGACCCTTGACTATACTTTCTTCTTTAGAGCTATGATACTTTATTTCTTTTTTATTTTTGTAGAGACAGAGTCTCACTTTATCGCCCTCAGTAGAGTGCCATGGCGTCACGTAGCTCACAGCAACCTCCAACTCCTGGGCTTAGATGATTCTCTTGCCTCAGCCTTCTGAGTAGCTGGGACTACAAGCACCCGCCAGAATGCCCAGCTATTTTTCTGTTGCAGTTTGACCAGGGCTGGGTTTGAACCCACACCCTTGGTATATGGGGCTGGCACCTTACCTACTGAGGTGCCGCCTGATACTTTATTTCTTAAGAAGGTGCTATTCCCATCCTTAGTGGGCAGAAGGGCAAAAAAAAAAATGACTTTTTTCCCTATCTTTTCTGCAGTGTGATGCAGTAAGTGTCCTGGAAAAGGAGCATGATTACAGGGATGAGCATTTGGACTTCATCCAGTCACACCTGCGGAGGTTCTGCCTCCAGTGTATCCTTGGAACATTGTGTGGGGCCTGGGCCTCAGACTTCCCTCTGAATGGGGCATCTTCAAAGAGATAAGCATCTCCTGAATCCAGGATAGTCTTCTGCCAGGGAGAAGTTGTATTTTATCTTTTTACTAGTTTTATGTTACTAACTCACGCCTACTTTTGATCACCTTTTATTTTATTTATTTTTCGAAAGTCAAATTTAGCAGTGGGAAGTTGTATACCAATTTTTGTGGCACTAATGTTAATAATAAGTTTTGATAACCCTCTATATGGGAACCAGCCAGATCATGTGTTGTTTTTTTTTTTCTTTTTTCTATTTTTTACTTGTAATTATTATGCATACATAATAGTTGTATATAAGGTACATGTGATGTTTTGAAACAGGCATACAATGTGAATTAATCAAACCAGAGTAATTGAGGTATCCAGCACCCAAGGCATTTAACATTTCTTTGTGTTAGGAACATTCCAATTATACTTTTTAAGTCATTTTATTTTATTTTATTATTTTTATGTATATTTTTATTAAATCATAGCTATGTACATTAATGCAATCATGGGGTACAATGTGCTGGTTTTATATACAATTTGAAATGCTTTCATCAAACTGGTCAACATAGCCTTCATGGCGTTTTTTTAGTTATTGTGTTAAGAATTTATATTCTACACCTAGTAAATTTCACATGTACCCTTGTAAGATGCACTGTAGGTGTGGTTCCACCAATTACTCTCCCTCCATCCATTCTCCCCCCTCCCCTCCCACTCCCCTTTCCCCTTCTCCTTGGGCTACAATTGGGTTATAGCTTTCATAAGAAAGCTATAAATTGGTTTCATAGTAAGACTGAGTACATTGGATACTTTTTCTTCCATTCTTGAGATACTTTGCTGAGAAGAGTATGTTCCAGCTCTATCCATGTAAACATGTAAAAGGTAAAGTCTCCATCTTTCTTTAAAGCTGTATAATATTCCATGATGTACATATACCATAATCTCTTGATTCATTCATGGGTCATTGGGCACTTGGGGTTCTTCCCTGTCTTAGCAATGATGAATTGGGCTGCTATAAACATTCTAGTACATATATCTTTGTTATAATGTGATTTTTTGGTCTTCTGGATATATACCTAGTAGAGGAATTGTAGGATTGAATGGCAGGTCTATTTCATGTGTTGGTTTTTGTTATTTTTTAAGAGAGAGGGTCTTGCTCTTTCACCTAGGGTAGAGTGTAGCGGCATAGTCACAGCTCACTGTAATTTTCATCTCCTGGACTGAAGTGATCCTCCTGCCTCAGCCTCCCAAAGTACTGGCATCACAGGCATGAGTCACCATGCCCATCCCAGATAACTTTTTATTTTTGATTCTGTACATCTTATAGGCTTTCATATTAAGGAACTGATGTTTGATTCATTTTGTTACCAAATTACTTCTATCATGTTGTCTTAGAAATATAAACTTGGCTCAGCGCTTGTGGCTCAAGCGGCTAAGGCGCCAGCCACATACACCTAAGGTGGCGGTTTCGAATCCAGCCCGGGCCCGCCAAACAACAATAATGGCTGCAACCAAAAAATAGCCGGGCATTGTGGCGGGTGCCTGTAATCCCAGCTACTTGGGAGGCTGAGGCAGGAGACTCGCTTGAGCCCAGGAGTTGGAGGTTGCTGTGAGCAGTAAAGCCAGGGCACTCTACCCAGGGGCTCAGCTTGAGGCTCTGTCTCAAAAAAAAAAAAGAAATATAAACTTTATTTTAAACTTTCCTTTGATACAGAGAAGATTAATTACCAGTTTTTCATTTTATATGCTATAGGTTTTTCCCATAAGTTTATGTTTTGTGCTGTCTGTGAGAAAGATGCTGTGACCACAGTTTTTTGAATCTTTCTTCCTGTAAAAAGCCAATAGCAGTTGTTGCCCTAGTCCTACACCGTGGAGTAAGGGTGAGAAATGGGTTCCTACTGGTTCCTTTGGACCCATTAACTTGTTGACACCCATTCTCATAAAAGGTATATTTAATGATGAACTTGGTCCAATTTGAGCATCTGCCTGGGAAGGAATCTGTGTGCCATGATATACTGAGGGTATTTTCTTGGGCTAGTCTAAGCTATTTACTTGACTTTGGGGAAGTAACCTGAGGGGTTAAGACAGGAGTTTACATGTTAAAAAAGAAGATCTACATGCCCCTGTAGCATCAGCATGTTTGTTGCTTTTGACGTGGTTCATCTGCTACTATTACTTTTGTAATTTTACAAATTTTAATAATTTCTGTTACTCATGTATTGATCAAAAACTGATCAACCTATGAGTAATACTGTGAAGATTGTGCTTATATGTATTTGATTTTGTCTCCTGCAGTGAATTGGTTTTCCTTAAACAGATTGATTAGATGGAGCTGCCTTGATTTATACATCAGTGAAAGAAGAGAAAAACCTTGACTTGTTGTTTAAGTATATTGTTCATAAAACATACGGTTTCCACTTCACCACACCTGCCTTAGTTGTGGAAAAGGATGCTGTTTTTATGTGAGTTCTTTATAGGTGATGGTTTCTCTTTTAAGTAAAGTTCCTTTTGCCTGTGTCTTGTATAGCCAGCTCTCTTGCTGCCTTGGAAGTGCTTGGGCTGTATCTCACTGGTGATAGATAGACCCAGCCTTCTCTGTCTGCTCCTGTCCAGATGATGAGGCATTCTTCCTGAAGGAAGTGGGTGGTGTGGTCAGAGCTTCTTCTGTTTTCTTCATTGAGTGCAAGTTGCCAAAACTTAAGCCAGCCATTTTTGACACTTATTGTCAACTCTGGTAAAATGCTGGCGGAGGGGGAAGCATAGGGGATTGCACTTTGGGATCCTAAATTGTCTTCTGTTAAGGCTTCTGCTATCTTATCATCCCTGTCAGCATGGGCTTTGATTACTCTGAACACTTATTGTGTTTCTGGCATTTTGTGTTTGGGAGCCACTGGGGTTAATTGTCTTTCTTTCTTTTTTTTTTTTTTTTATGGAGACAGTTTTACTCTATTGCCCTAGGTAGAATGCCACGGTGTCATAGTTTACCTCAGCCTCCCAAGTAGCTGGGACTATAGGCACCTGTCACAACACCCAGCAATAAATAATTTTGTGTGTTGGGGGGGTAGAATCTCAAAAAAAAAAGAAAAGAAAAGAAAAATTGTATTTGTTCATTCAGTAAGCCTTACTCAGCACCACCTCGGTGCCTGGGTTCTCTGCTGGGACATAGAAATGAATGAAATGAAATGTGAATGATACATGGTCCTTGCACATGATGATGTAGGGACCACACAGCTGAAGAGGGGAAGGGCAGCGAAGATGTGGTGGAGGAAGTATGGCAGGGAAGGCAGAGAGGCTTCCCTGATCTGGTGTGATCTGGTGCAGACCTATCCAGATGTATGTATCCCAGGCTGACTAGAAGTGGGGGCAGGGAGACCAGCTGTGAGAGGCTAGAAGTGTGAAAGCCAGGAGCTGTCAGAGAACTGAGTAGGTTGCCTCTTGCACATTTCAAGGAGAGTCTTACCTGGGTTACTTAGAGACACCATATCTATGGACATGGCCTAATTTTAGAGAACTGTGCAGAGCAGTCAGACAGGCACCAGTTCAGTGAGTGATGTGTTCTTGGAAATACATAGTGCCCAGATCTCATGTGATTTGAAGGAACGGAGAGACTACTTGGATTTGAGGGTGATCTGGAATAGAGAGTTATCTCGTAACTTCTACTAGCTGCATGGGTAATGATAATATCTTGATCATGCTCTGTTATTTGCCCCTTTCGTGGTCCCACTGGTAGTTTGCTTGTCTGGGGACTGGTAAAGTCAACAAGGCTGTCTGGGTGGAGCACCCTGGCTAAGAGCCCTTTTTGTTACAGCGCTATGGAGCAGAAGTTGGATGGAGAATGAGATGCTTGTAAGGACAGTAACTTGGCATCTTTCAAAGCTGCTTGAGTTCAAAAGTGTATCATATAGAACATTTTACAATTGCTACCTACAAGAGATTCAGTTGGGAACCCTAGGCGGCAGCTTAACTTAATGGAACCTGTGTACCATCTTGCCTTTGGATGTCGAACTGGGTAGCACCCCTTTGGTTTGGGGCCCAGGGTAGACACAGCAAAGTTAATGAACCAATCCATAAAATAACCATTTTTAGAAGAATTCTAAGAGAAAGAAACAGGCCATAGGAGAAGAGCTTCGGTGCCAAAGCCCAAGAGAAATAGTCGCATCCTGCCCTTGGTCAGAACAGGGCCCCACGGTGTTGTTACTTTTCCAGATAGAGTTATGGGAGAGCATGTGGAGTCAGTTAGATTTCCTGCTGGCTCCTTAGGCCTTGGGCCCATGAACTTAAGACAGAGGACCTGTGTGCTCAAATGATGAACTATACCTGCAGTGAATTTTGGCTTGTCTACCAAAAGGTGCTAACCGCATCTTGTGGAATAGGATCTTACCCAGGAGTCCTCTCTAATCCTGAAAGTGCTCTGAGTGTGCCCAGAGGCAGTCCCAGGAAAAGCAAGTCAATCTCTGTCTCTTTGCCTTTAGACCTGCAGGCTGGGACAATGAAAAGAAAATAGCTATTTTACATGAAAATTTCACAACTGTGAAGCCAGAAGATGCATATGAAGATTTTATTGTGAAACCTCCAGTGAGAAAGGTACCCAAATCAATCACTGTAAGAGTTTAGGTTCTTTCCTTTCTTTAGATTAATGTCAAAGAAAAAAAAAAGAGGTTAGGTGTTTTTTAATAGGGTAAAAAAAAAAAACCTATAAAGAAACAGGTCTTATACATTAGATCACTTTAGGGGGGAAAAGGAACCCAAGGACCTTTCTGTTCCTCTGTAAATGAGGTCCAGTGTTCTGTGAGTGGCTGAAGGTGGTGGGGTGATGGCATTGCCTCTGCGGAATTGGGTGGTATTTCCCATTAAGCCCTACCAGTGTTGCCTCTGGATTACTATCACTAGATTCCCTTATGTGATCTTCTACAGACCTGATCTGGCAGGTGGTGTTTAGAACCTGTGAACACTTAAAAATGCCAGTTGGCTACATGCCACAGCTACTTTTGGGAGAAGGTTTGTGCCAGACCAGAAAAAAATAACTCTGCAGTCTCAGCAGGGATCTCTGAGACCCATGTTGAGGCCTGAGCCTGAGATTCTCATTTCAGCATGAATTTTGACAGTATTTGGGAGTGTTCTTGGCCTGTGGCCACAAACGTGTGTGTTGCTTCACAGCTGGTTCACGACAAAGAGTTGGCAGCTGAGGATGAGCAGGTGTTCCTAATGAAGCAACAGGTAAGAAGACCAGTGAGGTTAGAACAGAGGCCTTCTCATGCATGAAATACCAGTTCCTACAAAATAGACTTGGGGGTGTCTGCATGTGGGGAATCACAAAGAGCTTGCAGCAGTAGAGGAGCTGAGACAGACCTCCTTCCCATTTTCACTCTTGTTTCTAAGCTTAGTACGTATTGGACCACCTGCCTCCTTGCTCAGTCTCCTATAGGGATAGGCTTAGTATATTTTTAAGTGTTCCTCACTTCCATTATTTCCTATAGTCTCGCGCAGCCCTGTGCATAATGGCAAGTGATGCCCATTTTGTAGATGAGGAGAGTAACTTCCCCAAGCTGACAGATCAGAATGCAAACCTAAAGTCATTTCTCTTTCATCTGGACTTGTTAGACATGTCGTGGATCTGCCTGATGGTACAGGCAGGTCCACAGGGGTTTTGATGATTCTTTTTCCAATTATTCTTCCTTTCTGTGCTCTGCTTGCTTCCTTAGTTTCAAAACTGGTTTCTTAGAATATTTTTTCACCATATACCAAACTGTTTAATTTAAATTTTTCCCATACATGCTGTGAAACATAGGACTTGGTTGTTGTTAATGGTGCCCTCTAGTGGAATACTTAAGAGTAAGTTTTTTCCAGACCTTCAGTGCACTTTGCAGGCCTTGATTAATGGCCAGTTTGTCCCTCTCTTTGCAGTCACTCCTTGCCAAGCAGCCAGCCACGTCCACAAGAGCCTCCGTGAGTACCTTACACTAAACAGGGTCAAGGCCCAGTGCCATGGGTGTCTTCAGACTTCATACAATTATTTGTAGAAGCTTATAATTGCGTGGGCTTTCATATTTTCAAAGGGAATTTGTTTTCCCTAAAGGCCTATAGTCAAGAACATAGTAGAAACTCAGGAAATGTCTGATGAAAGACTGTAACTCTGGGAATTAGAGTGAGCTCTTGTCATTACCCGACATCCCTTCTCTCAGGAGAAACAGGTCTAGGAAGTGCCTGAGCTGAGAGCAAATTGCCAGTCCGTAGCCTGTGAAAACAATCGTGCAGAAGCATATCTTCATTTTTGGAATATGTACTTTTTGTTATTTTTATGCCTGTGTGTGACCTGAGCTGGTTTTGAACTTAGGAATCCCCTGCAAGAGGACCTTCTGGCTCTCCAAGGACCCAGGGCCGGGGAGGACCTGCTAGTGTGCCTAGTGCCTCTCCAGGCACATCAGTAAAGAAGCCGGACCCAAACATCAAAAGTATGTATCCTGTCTCTGTGGAGAGTAGTTTAGTCAGGCCTGAACCACAAAGGAGCTGGGTAGCCAAGTCTGTAAGGTGAAAGCTGGGCTGTTTATTCTCTTCCCCAATAAGGGCTGCTTTTCACTTCCCCTCTTCTAAAGGTAAGAGATTTATAATTGGCAGAGAGCAGGGCCTATTCATTTGCTGGGATTGGTGTCCCATGCACCTCTGTGAGACTTGCACATTTCTTCAGAAAAGAATACAAAATAGGAAGTCACTTTAAAATGTGTATTTTGAATCCTTAGTCTTGTTTCTCATTATATTTATATTATAAATTATTACTACTATTTATGAATTGTCGGATATTTTTTCCCATTCAGTTTTCTTGTCAATTATTTACCATGTTTCCCTGAAAATAAGACACTGTCTTATATTTATTTTTTCTCAAGAAGACACACTAGGGCTTATTTTCAAGGGATGTCTCTCTCCACGCCCAAATGCATGGCATGGCTATGCAGATATGCTGTATAGCCACACCCATCACTAGGTCTTATTATTGGGGTAGAATAATTGGTTGGTTTTTTTTTTTGAGACAGAGCCTCAAGCTGTTGCCCTGGGTATAGTGCTGTGACATCACAGCTCACAGCAGCCTCCAACTCCTGGGCTCAAGCGAGTCTCCTGCCTCAGCCTCCCAAGTAGCTGGGACCACAGGCGCCTGCCACAACGCCCGGCTGTTTTTTGGTTGCAGCCGTCATTGTTGTTTGGCAGGCCTGGGCTTGATTCAAACTCGCCACCTTAGGTGTATGTGGCTGACGCCCTAGCCATCTGAGCCACAGGCCTGGGGTGGAATAATTTTTACTCTGTGCATTTCAAATGCATAGAGATCCTGCTAGGGCTTATTTTATTAGTAGGTCTTATTTTTAGGGAAACATGGTATTAGTTTAGTCATTATCTTTGTGGCTTAATGATACCCAACAATACTGGCTGTAATATAAAATAAAGTTTTATTAATTCTTGCATATTTGATGAGAGTGTCTTCTATTTAGGGTGTGAGCTTTTCACTGCAGATTTGGAGTGTGAAGGGCTCATAGAACTTTGAAAAGCACTGCCCTCGTGGATAGGGAGATGATATAATAATAGGTTATCTATCTTGCCCCAAATAGGTGGAGAATATAAGCATATTTCCATTTGGTAATCATGCCAACACATGGGCATAGTAGCCATGTATAAGGAAGGATTTATAGTAACAGAATATATTATCAGTATCCTGAAAAAATGATGGGCATGAACAGTTAATTCCAAGCTGAGAACTGGGGGGTGGAGGGTTGTTTATAATTAAGTCATCCAGTTTATGTGATGCTTTTTTTCCCCTTGATACTTCCTTAGATAATGCAGCAAGTGAAGGGGTGTTGGCCAGTTTCTTCAACAGTCTGTTGAGTAAAAAGACAGGCTCTCCTGGAAGTCCTGGTGCTGGTGGGGTACAAAGCACAGCCAAGAAGTCAGGTATGGAAGAGCCTTCAGAGACCTGTGACTCTTATGTTGAACCAGTGCTGAAAGGATGGAAACAGACAGGAATGTCTGCCTTCACTGACCCAGAGGCAGACAAGAGTGTCTGCCTTCACCTGTGGGTCACCTGACCCACAGACCCTCAGTTTACTGAATAGTGAAGCAAGGAAGCCGACCTTCACTTTATACTGAGCAGTGTGCCATGCTTTCAGTGAGAACACCTTATCACTATACAGGTTTGCTTGATGCATTTAAAGTGGGATCTGTATGCTATATTCAGGTTCTCAGGAACTGGCTATTAGGTGAATTGAGTTATAGCCTAAATGAGGCCCTGATGTAGGAGCTGTATCCATTGGCCTTTGTGGTCCATGGAGAGTATACTATTGACATTTTATTTATTCTGTTTAATTTTCTGTGATGAGAGTGTCTGTGATGTTCTAAGGATTTTTGTTCACTGCACTAGAGCCTGTGATCCTTCACTGTCTTACTGGAGGTTCATTGTCTCCTCCTCCACAGAGTTCTCGCCTTGTCTTTCTGTGACACACACACACACTTCCTCCCTTTCTGTGGTGGCTACCCACCTATCATTCCATGTTGGGTAAGTCAGTGTGTCTTCTGAGACAAAATAACCAAGTTCCATGAGAATTACACATTGTCCCAGGAAGCTGGAGGACATTTAAAAAGCTTTCAATTTTCTATTGGCTATGAGGCATGTTAATATAGTGTTTTCCTTAATCGATGTTTCTGGAGCAAAGGAGACCCTCAGGAGATCACTCTATCCATGGGACAGCCTGGGATTCCAGTGGCTCCTGAGTTCTTACAGATTCCAAGTCTGGTCTGGTGGCCCAGGTTGTTGGCTGGTAGTAGTATTTCCCAGTGGGAAATAGGAGTCCATTTCCATGTCTCAGGTAGTATTTGACAGCAGAAAAATTTGAGTACTGACTTTGTGCAGATTGAAACACGATGTTTCCAGACTACCCATCTAAGTCAGTCTAGAATATTGTAATTTGAAACAATTTCAGCACTTGTTTGAAGCAAGGAAAATACTTTGCTGTATTGTTGAAACTCAGATACCACCCACAGAAAGAAGTTGGAAAGAGTGCACAGGGGTCGAGGTTGGGTGGTAAGAAGGTTTTCAGAAAGGTCCTTGTGTTTGGCAGGACATGTCATGTAGAAAGCAGTCATGTAGAAAATATTGACCTGTGACATTCGGTATTAAGAAGTACTGAATTAGGGTCTGTCTCTTTATTGCAGTGAAAAAAGGCTTTTTCATTCTTATTGAGGATACTATTAAATAATTACAGAAGTCTGTATAATTTCAAATTCTCACTTTAAAAATTGTTCTTTGGGCTAGGTACAGTGGCCCACATCTATAATCCTAGCACTTTGGGAGGCTGAGGCAGGATGTTTGCTTGAGGTCAAGAGTTCAAGGCCAGTCTGAGCAAGAGTGAAACCACATCTCTACTAAAAATAGAAAAATTAGCTGGACTTTGTGTCAGGCTCCTGCAGTGCCAGCTGCTTGGGAGGCTGAGGCAAGAGGATCACTTGAACCCAGGAGTTTGAGGTTGCTGTTAGACTGAGGCTACAGCATTCTGTCTTGGGCAACAGAGTCAAACTTTGTCTCCAAAAAGCAACAGAAAAAGTTGTTTCTTGTTGTTACATCACTATTTCACTTTTTTTTTGTTTTTGTTTTTTAGGACAAAAGACTGTGTTGTCAAATGTTCAGGAAGAATTGGATAGAATGACTCGAAAACCAGACTCCATGGTAACAAACTCAACAGAAAATGAAGCCTGATCCTCCTTAAAACATGCATATGTCCAATGACCAAATAACTATGTATATTGATCTGCTAAGACCAGGATTTTTCTGATACGGCACATGCTATCAGTTTTTGGGGGCAGGGGAGATGAACTTAAAAAAAAAAAAAAACTTCATTGGCTTATCTGAGTGTGAAATGCACATTTAGGAAAGTTATATGTCAGATCCCTTTGTTAAGGATAACCCTTGGACACTTGGGCACATGGCTCTCTCGAGGGAGGCAAGCACAGCTGGGCTTCTTATGGAGATGAAGGTAAAGTGAGACAACGAGGACCCACTTTCTGTCAGGGTGGAGCAAATGAGTAAATCATTACTCTGGTGGTTAGTCTGACCAGTTTCATGTTAGCAAATTCACTTGTTCCTGGGAAGCAGATTAAATAGCAGAAAGTCCAGGAAAGAGAATGACTAAAAGGAGGAATGAGAGAAGTGATGGTGGGGAAGCTGAAGGTTGATGGAGGGAGAGGAAGGAGATGAGCAGTGTTAGTAAATACTGTGTGTTCAGTAGAAGTCAAAGAATCATTGTTGAAGACTTAAAATTAGAAGCATTTCCAAACTAAACATGAAGCAAAATGGGAATTAGACTTGTTCTGATTGCATCTTTACTTTTTATGAAAGATGTGTTGATTGTGGGAGCACCTGAGTCCAGTGGAGCTGACTCAGGGCAGGAACAATGGCAGCTGCCCACCACCCATGTGCTTGGCCCAGGCTTTGTCCTCATGGGAGGTGCTAGGCTCCACGTATGTTCATCATGGAGCAGACAGTCACTGTGGGGTAGGTTCTAAGTCAGCAGTTATAAAATTAGTTTACTTTAATTTTTTTTTAATAGCTCTTGATTTTTTTTTTTAAGTAAAAAAAAGTAACTTTTTTTTTAACTACCACAGGCTGGCCTACTAATAGAAAATGAGTGATTGACCTCTCATTTTGCCATAATGCAGTGTGGTACAGAAAGTTTGGGGGAGGTTTTTAATGCAATTGCACTCTGGTTAATTGGTTTGCACCAGTCTGCCTTATAATCTGTGGGAATCTTCACGGAGTTTCAGTGATGCAGAAGGGTCTTGTCCTAACTCCCTGGTGCGATGATTGCTATCAGATGGACAAATAAGTGTGAATGTTTTATATTGAAAATGGAAATGACACATTTCTCATGTATTTTTCATATATTGTAGCTTTTTTTTTTCTTAAGGAAGTAAGAGTTTTCAGGTGTCTCCCCACTTAGGGCACATTCATGCATCGTGAATTGTCACAATTGTCATGTCACACCACCATCCTGGAAATGACTTTTGTGGATTTGAAATGGCACTTTTAATTTTATATATGACACAGAGCGTTTAAATACAAACACTACCGTGAAGTTAATGTATAAAATTTTGTTGTCAAACCAAGGGAAAAAAACCACAGTTCACTATGTGGAGTTTACTTTTTTTTATATGAATGTTTGTTGTACTGTGTCTGAGAATAACTTCCCTAATGTCATTGCTTTTACATACCTGATTGACTGACCACTAATGTAGTACTGGGTGTAACTTAAATATCTTTGTCGTATAACAACTGTTAAGATTGTCTTGAATTGCTTTTGTAAAGGTCTGAACACTGTTAAGGAGAAAGCTGAGTATTTACTTGCCTTTCTGACGACAAAAACACATTTCTTGTGCCAGTTTTATTGTTGAAATATACTATTTTTTCCTTTTTTAATTCAGTTTTTTTTTTAAAACAAATGTATTATTGCTTCCAATTACCAGATTATCTAGGTAATGACGGTAAACTGACTGTGGAATGATATTGTGGTGTAGTGACCAATAGATGTCATACAGCTTGTGGCCACACTAAAGGTGGGTCACTTAATCTCTCTCTAGCAGCTGGGGCAAAATAAGTAACCTCAGAAACAAGAAGGACTTCTTAGAAAGGCACATGCCTAAGAGGGATACAGTGTGATTGTAAATTCTAATGCAAAATTTTAATTTTTTGTTTATTTTTTGTCATTTAAACTGATAAGCACTTTTTGTGTCAATATAAAATGTACTAAACCTTTTGAAATGTTAAGACACCTGTCTTGTGAAGGAAGGTTTCTTGGAGACCACTTTTATTTTCTCATGACAAGTGGGTGCTCCTGTTATCAGAAGAAACTGATACATAGTGTCATGTGCTCAGTGGTTGCCAAAGTCTACCAACTTTGGACTACAGGGTTCTTGGGGGGGGGTGATTTTTGTTATTTTGGGGCTTTTAAGCATTGGAACCAAAGGCCGAATAATGAACAGCCTTTACTTTTTAAAGTAAAATTCATTTTATTTGCAGAATACAATTGTATGGTAGACTGTTGAAGACAATTTTATGCCTATTTATACACATCGTAGTGATTACATCTGTTGTTTGTCTTTAAAATTTAAAAAAATTCAAAGAAAAATAAGCCCAACTTAGAAGATGTGGCCCAGATAAAGGCCATGAATTGGTCTTTCCTACAAATATAACAGGTATGCTGCTAGATTATTTTATTTTGTTTGCACTTTTTTTGATTGGCATTTTAAAATCAGTATTTAAACTAAAGACATTATCGTGTTTTATTAATTTAATGAAGTTGAAAGTGACTGCTCTGTACATCATGACCTTAACAATGTTGATGCTGTAAGTGAAAGTTCACTGTCTATATACTAAGTTTATTGGTGTTTTTAACTTAAAATTAGGACTGCAGATTGTTCCCCACCAGCCTTAGTCCAGGGGTGTGGCTCTATCCAGGTGCAGTATGCAGTCATGTGGAACCTTGCTTTCTAGTGCTGGAAAAAAAAAAGATGTCTCTAATTTACTGGCTTCAATAAACATGAATCCAGACTGCTTACAATTTTTGGTGACTTTCTTTGTGATAAATCATCCAACTAGAGAAATGTTGAATTTGTCAGCTAATCATATGAAGTATTTGATTATGCAGCTAAAAGCGTTTTCTACTCTTACTTGAAAGAGAAATAATCAGAAATCCTGGGCTCGGTGTCTGTGGCTCAAGTGGCTAAGGCACCAGCCACATACACCTAAGATGGTGGGTTCGAATCCAGCCCGGGCCCACCAAACAACAATGATGGCTGCAACCAAAAAAATAGCCAGTGTTGTGCTGGGCGCCTGTGGTCCCAGTTACTTGAGAGGCTGAGGCAGGAGACTCGCTTGAGCTCAGGAGTTGGAGGTTGCTGTGAGCTGTGATGCCATTGCACTCTACCCAGGGGGACAGCTTGAGGCTCTGTCTCAAAAAAAAAAAAAAAAAGAAATTCTGAAAAGAATAGCACTATAAAACTGCATTTCAAAGGCTATAGTTTCATATGTAGAGTGCATGGAGTTTGTAATTGCCAAGTGTATTTTCTTGCCTCTTGAATCTCTTCATTGTCTAAATTGGGCCGAGTTCTTCTCACTTGTTTAAATGGAATACAGAAAAATCTGTTCAAGAAATTGGATTCTTTATTTTATTGTACAATTACATTTCTGATTATTACACCCACATTAGACAGGTGGAATTTTTTTGGTTTTTAAAGCTGATTTATCATATACATTTTTTCTGAACTTTTTATTTTGAAAAATTATAAACCTACAGAAAAGTTGCAAAGGCATAGTAAACCCCCATCGCCTATTTTTTTTTTTTTTTACATAGTTTCACCAAGTTTTAACTTTGTCATATATGCTTTCGTTCTCTTCCTCTCCCTCTCCATCATCCTTTGTCATATTTGTGGGCATGTGCACACGTGCTCATACTTTTCCCCTTTAATCATTTAAAATAAGTTTTAAACACTTAGGGTATTCATCATAAATCAGATGTGTCTAGGCCAATTACAGAAAGTTTGATATCCTGGATTTGCCTTATTTCTTCATAATTTGACTCTAGTTAAACATACTTTGCAAGGATGCTTCATTCTACAATAACAGGTTGTATATGTTCCATTATGTCACATCAGGTTGTTCCTGTTTTAGGGATGCTAGATTTGATTCCTTGGGTAAGGTGATATCCTTCAGCTTTTAGTCTTTGAGGTGACACTGTTGAATATTTAGTTTTCAGTCACCTTACTTACCTCTTAAAGCACTCACTGTTGCCTAAATGAGTTATCACGTTAAAGTTTCTTTAAGGGTAATTTTCTTATCCCATCATTTTTTCTACATGCATTAGTTGGCATTCATCTGTAAAGAAGAGTTTTCTTCCCTCTGCCCTTTTTGGGTTGTTATCCCTATTAATCCACAGGTTTTTTTTTTAATTAAAAATGTTATGTTCTAATAACTGTCATTCTTGTTAATACTCAAATTGCTCCAAGTTTGAATAAAATGAGCCCCTTCAACCAGCTGTTGCCTTTTTATTAAGGTATAATTAATATAAAATTCATTATTTTACAATGTACAATTCAGGGGGGTTTAGTATATTCACTGTGTTGTACAACCTTGACCATTACCAAATTTCAGAACATTTTCATCACCCCCAAAAGAAGTCACATGTGTTAACAGTCCAATTCTCCTTTCCCCTTATTCCCTGGCAACAGGAAATCTCTCTGTGGATTTGCCTATTCTAGCTGTTGTATGTAAATAGAATAATACAATATGTGGCCTTTTTGAGTCCAGCTTCTTTCACTTAGTATGTGAAAACTTTTCCAGGTTCATCCATGTTGTCATTTGTTGTATTAGTACTTTATTCCTTTTAAAAGCTGGGGCTCGGCACCTGTGGCTCAAGCGGCTAAGGCGCCAGCCACATACACCTAAGGTGGCAGGTTCAAATCCCCAGCCCAGGCCCGCCAAACAACAATGACGGCTGCAACCAAAAAATGGCCAGGCGTTGTGGCAGGCGCCTGTAGTCCCAGCTGCTTGGGAGGCTGAGGCAGGAGACTCGCTTGAGCCCAGGAGTTGGAGGTTGCTGTGAGCGTGATGCCATGGCACTCTACCCAGGGGGACAGCTTGAGGCTCCGTCTCAAAAAAAAAAAAAAAAAAAGCTGGATAATATTCCTTTGCATGGATAAACCACATTTTGTGTATCCATTCGTCAGTTAATAATTACATTGTAGTCACTTGGTGGTTATTATAACACTGCTGTGAAGCTCTGTATATACTTTGTATAAACATGTTTCCCTTTTTTTAGTACATATATCTAGGAGTAGAATTGCGGATCATATGGTAATGCCCTATTCTAACTGTTTGAAAAACTGGCAGACTATTTTCCATAGCAGCTTTTCTTAAAAACAGCTGAACTGGCTCAGCACCAGTGGCTCAACGTAAGGTGGCAGGTTCAAATCCAGCCCGGGCCCACCAAACAACAATGATGACTGCAACCAAAAAAATAGCCAGGCGTTGTGGTGGGCGCCTGTGGTTCCAGCTACTTGGGAGGCTGAGACAGGAGACTCGTTGGAGCCCAGGAGTTGGAGGTTGCTGTGAGCTGTGATGCCACAGCACTCTACCCAAGGGGGACAGCTTGCAAAAAAAAAAAAAAAAGCCACTGAACTATTTTAGGTATTTAAGGGTTCCAATTTCTCCACTCTTTGGCCAACACTCTGACTCATGATGTTGAGGAGCATCTTTTGATGTGCTTATTGGCCATTTGTATATCTTCTTTGGAGAAATGTCTGTTCAAATTTGTTAATTTTGGGGGGGTGGGGTGGGCTGGGGCTGGACTTGAACCTGCCACCCCAGGTATATGGGCCAGTGCCCTACTCCTTGAGCTACAGGTACTGCCCAAATGTGTTAATTTTTTTTTAAACAAAGTCTCATTCTGTCACTCTGGGTAGAGCGCTGTGGCATCATAGCTCACTCAAACTCTTGCCTCAGCCTCCCAAGTAGCTGTGACAACAGGCAACAGCCACCATACCCAGCTAACATTTCTATTTTTAGTATAGATGGTGTCTCACTCTTACTCAGGCTGATTTTGAACTCCTGAGCTCAAGCAATCCACCTGCCTTGGCCTCCTAGAGTGCTAGGATTATAGGCATGAGCCACTGCACTTGGCCCAAATTTGTTAATTTTTTTTTTTTTCTGAGACAGAGTCTCATTATAATGTCACCTCAGTAGAGTACTGTGGCATCACAGCTCATAGCAACCTTAAACTCTTGGGTTTATGCGATTCTCTCAGCCTCCCAAGTAGCTGGGACTGTAGGCGCCCACCACAATGCCCGACTATTTTTTTGTTTTGCAGTTTTTGGCCAGGGCTGGGCTTGAACCCGCCACCTCTGGCATATGGGGCAGGTGCCCCACTCCTTTGAGCCACAGGCACTGCCCCCAACTATTTTTTTGTTGCAGTTGTTTAGCTGGCCCAGGCCAGGTTTGAACCCGCCACCCTCAGTATATGTAGCTGGTGCCGTAACCACTGTGCTGTGGGCGCCAAGCCTGTTAGGTATTATTAATATCCATTTCTAGAGGTCATACCACTCTGCATGTTTGTCAGCAGTTGTACAAATTTTTAATTCATTGTCATATTTTGCCATGAAAATGAGTTTAGGAAGTTTGCTGAATATTTATTTGGGGGGAATGTTTTATTTTGTGATACTAGCAGTACCATTGTAATAGCACATACTTATATTAAAGATTGTTGTATATCAGTCACTCCTCTAGATAGTTTATACAAATTGATTTCATGTCACAACTCTGAGGCAAGTACTGCTGTCATCTCCATGTTAGTTTCCAAGTAAGCCACAGATAGGCTAAGTAGCTACTAAGGTCAAAGCCAGAATTTGAACCTGGCCAATCTAGCTTCTTGAGTTTGAGCTGTGCTGGGGTTCACTGTGTTCATTTAAGGCAGATAGAGAAAATAGGTCAACTGGAAGTTTTCATCTGTTCTGGCCTACCTTTTGCTTTGCCATCATGGATTTTTGGTGGGCAAAAATGACAGAGAATGCATCTGTAGAGAGAGTATCCATTACACAAACGGGGAGAGCCTCCTACAGTCCCAGGTATATTGCTGGAAAAGGCAGGGGTACTTGCCACTCCTATCTTGGAAGGACTTCCTCTTAAGGTGTTGGGTGATGTTTTCTCGCAGGGAGAGAAGGATGGCTTGGCCGCGGGTGCAAGTTCGCTCCTAGAATTGTATGAAAGCAAGAAACAACTGCATACTCTTAGATGGCATGTAGCAAAATGTCTTTATTTTCCACTCCCTTTTATTGGGAGCTAGTTACTATACCATATTGATTAATAATCTTAACATCCTCAATTCTTATCTTAAACTATAGAAAAGAAAGTAAGTCCGAGAAAGTGAGATAACCATCATAAGATTAGCCTAAAGAAAGAAAGTCCGGGAAAGTAAGACAACCATCTTAAGACTAGCTTCAGGCTGTTCCTCTCTGAAGACCTAAAAGAACTATACATTATCTGATGTCTATTCTTAAAGTTAAAGGTTAGGATAAACAGAGGAGTAAAACCTTTCTCTTCTATGTACTCAATTAAATTTCCCAGAAATTGGCTCCACGACTGTTTTCTTATGGTTTGGAGACCCCGCAGTTACGATGGAGTGTTTTACTCACATCATTACAATGGAGTTTTTCATTTCACTCACATCAGCCTTTGAGTCATGTCCTCTGCACAGATGGGCTGTTTCAACCCTTATCTGGCAGGCTGACTTGACTGCAAAGTCGGGGTTCCATGTAGGAGGTTGTTAGGCCTTGCCTGCAGGTCCCCACCATGCTTTCCCAGGTCGCTTAGGCCTTGACAAAAGCGCATAATACTCACAAGTCTTGTTGCTCAGTTTCTGGAATTAAAAGAGTACATTTCATTTAATTTTTGTGGGAGTTTACCCCACATTAAGGTATGAAGTGCTTTAGAGTCACCCGTGACCAGTGCTCTTGGCAGGCTCTGAGACAGACTTTGACCAGTGCAAATGTCCCAGCCTGAGTGTGA